GGCGACGTGCGCCGCGCCCTTCGTGCCCTGGTGGTGGCTGAGCGCGGCGGCGGCGGCCGCTGCCACCTTCCCGGCGATCCTCGTGTGCTGGTAGGTGTGCAACAAGCGTACACGCAACGCGATTGCAGCTGGGGCATACTTATAGAGCGATTTTTATAAGAATGGGACGTTTTGACAGCTAGTGGTGGCAACACAAAAGAACGTTTTGTGTTCGTTATGTCCTTATGCCTATTAAGCTCTCCTTCCTTCAGTCGTTCGTTTAAAGTTGGCTAACTTGTAAATGGCTTCGACGCTTCCTTTTGCGATGTCCATGTCAGACGAAGAGCGTCATGTCGTCAAATCGTCATGTCAAAGCGCCGTCCATGTCAAGCCCGCTATACACGGTCATTTTTGCATCATTTTTTCATCATTTTTCTGTACAGAAAGTGGATGGAAAAAGGATGTGCGTTTGTTTCGGTACCGAAACTGGATGAACGTGATTCCGATGTTTTACACGATCATTTCTGCTCTGTATGCAATCGTGATGAAAATACTTCCTCCACACGCCGCAAAAAGCGCTGGAAGTTAAACAGTTGAACATCGCACGTACGTAAACAATTGCAATATGCGAGAAGAGTGATGAGATGGTTACGTATTCGCAGTGAAGGTGGTAGATAGTCGTGTGAAGTATTGTGAGTTTTGAGTTGGAAATGGAAAGGAAAGCAGTGACACTCAACCTCACGAAATCACAACCAAAACAGCACAAAACGCTCTAACGTTCGAACAACTCTCCAGGGCACGGAATCGAAGAAAGTTCCATAGAGTAACACCAGGAGCGCCATAGTCAAACTGGATGCAATTTGTACGGAAAAATGAAGCATGCTTCATTTTTACGTACAAATTGCATCCAGTCTGGTCAGTAACTTGTCTGTACCGACGAGAAATGATGCAAAAATTACCGTGTAAAGCGGGCTTCAGACGAGTTTGCGTCAGACGAAAATACAGTGCGCCAAAAAGAAAAAAATTGAAATTAGGAAGTACAGAGCCATGTGCTCTTCTGTAAAAATTCATTTTTTTTGTAAACATTACATTGAATTTATTTTTTACGTGATACGTATTATGTTTGTTTTAAAACCGAGCCTTGTTGTGAGATGCATACTGGTGACTGTGCACATGTCTCCAGCATTGTAAGGTGATGTAAGCTGTGTTCGTGAGCGTTTCATGGTTCGGTGTTTTGCTTTTTATATTTATTATATAAAAATAAAGTAAAAGAGAGCGTTCACTGTTTAAATGTTTTAATCGATTAGAGTGAACATAAAGTATGTGCTTATTATTCATCCAAGAAATAAGAGACGAAAATAGGCATTCTGGTTAAGGAATGCATTGACGTACAGAGCATGACTGACATGCAAAGCAATTCAATAGAACAAGTCACATTTGAGTTTTGAGAGCATAGTACTAGGTTTGAATAGTCGAGGTTTTATCGGGTTTTATAATTATAAATAAACCACTCTCTTCACTACATAAACGCATGAGCTATTCTCTATGAAACGCCCAGAAAAGGTATTTGAACGTCCCCCGAAAAATCATTTTTCTATTTACATTCGTGACAGCGTTCTTTTACTGAATATGAGAGCATGTTAAGATATTTTTCCACACACGTCATTAAATTTCAATATTTCCTGGACTCGTGTACGTGCTTATATCTCAGCGAAACTCTTAAGACTTCTGTATAGTGATGGCTTTGCGGGAGCCGTAAACAGAGCCTTTACGAAGAGGCGTGGTTGCACAGCTGCCGTGACGGAGGGATACTTATCTGAATTACAAGTGATGTTCACATGTTTAGCGAACTGTCACATCGGCTCAATCTTATAAAAATTGCTCTATACCGTTTGGGAGAGTTTCTATGAAGCATCTTCAGGTGACCGCTGGAGGAAATTCAATCTTTTCGCTGCACTAATGGGCTTTGGACTTTCGATTATTGGGCGACATCTTACCAGAGACTCGTCTTCACACAGAAAGTGTTGTAGTTGTGCAAGCCGTCACCCACATTCAATGTTTTTGTTACCAAAAATTTACTCCATGAAAATGTTTCAACTGTTTCAAGATTCAATATACCCCTTTATGATTATACTGGACAGTAACAATTTTTGCGATAAAACTAATTGACTCCCCCGAACAAAGCTCGCAGTTAAGGATCCCATGATAAAAATATAACATACCGTTATGAACATCTGAATTTTAATTATAGTATACAGTCGCATTAATATGCGGGAAAACATAAATTTATCGGGTTTTATAATTTATTTATGATTCTTTTAAGGAAAAACGTCAGTACAATAAATACAAATGTTAATTTATTATTACTGAACAAAATCAAATTATATTTACATAAAACTACGAAAAATTATGTACGTAAACTTGTACAAATCTTACATGATACGTTATTTTACAGCCTATTTAATATTCGGGCAACACAGGAAAATGTGATAAATTAGCGCTGAACTGCAACTTAATATTCTATAGTTAGTCCCTTTTGTTTTTACACTTCTTTCAGTCATCTTGGTATTGGAGTTACTATTTTTTGGGTATAATTGCTCCCAATTTTCCACCATTCTTCTCGTATTCTTTCATCTAATCCATTTTTTTACCGAAGGTTGTCTTTGGGAATCCTAATGTATCATTCGTGACAATGATTCACAATAGGGCTTAAGTATGAAGTGGTGTATCGAATACCTCCGGCCAGTTGTAGAGAAGCCATTTCCTCGCAACGTGGGCCTTATGTTTAGGTTCGTTGTCTTGAAAAAATTTAAAACAATTTCTAATCTCCAGTTCCTCTGCATTTCTGTGCAAAGTGTTTTTGAGAATATTTGGATGCGGCACATTGTCAATAGGACCTTGAATAACAGCAATTTCTCCCACTCCACTATCGCCTACAGAGCCCCAAATCATGTGTT